TGCAACCACTGCCTCCCAGTTCCAGAGATTCTTCTGCCTCAGCCTCCTCAGTAGGTGGGATTACAGGCGCCAACCACCACGCTCAGCTAATTTTTGTATTTTTAGCAGAGACAGTGTTTCTCGATGTTGGCCAAGTTCACCTTCATCTACTGACCTAAGGCAATCCGCTTGCCTCAGTCTCCCAAAGTGCAGGATTACAGGCGTGAGCTATGTGCCTGGCCAAAAAAAATTTTTTTTAAGATGCAAGTTTTTTTTTTTTTTTTTTTTTTTGAGAGAGAGAGTCTTGCTCTGTTGCCAGGCTGAAGTGGCATGATCTCAGCTCACTGCATCCTCTGAGTCCCAGGCTCAAGTGATTCTCCTGCCTCAGCCTCCCAAGTAGCTCGAACTACAGGTGCGTGCTACCATGCCCAGCTTACTTTCGTACTTTTAGTACAAAATAAAAATACAGGTTTTCACCATGTTGGCCAGGATGGTCTCAATCTCTTGACTTCATGATTCACCTACCTTAGCCTCCCAAAGTGCTGGGATTACAGGTGTGACCCACCACGCCTGGCCAAGATGCAAGGTCTTGTCCTGTCACCCAGGCTACAGTGCAGTGGTACAATCATAGCTCAATGCAGGCTTGACCTCCCAGGCTCCAGTGATCCGCCCACCTTGGTTTCCTGTGTAGCTGGAACTACACGCCTGGCTAATTTTTAAAATTTTTTGTAGAAATGGGGTCTCACTATGTTGTCCAGGCTGGTTTTAAACTCCTGTCCCCAGGCAGTCCTCCAGCCTCAGCCTCTGAAAGTGCTGGGATTATAGGTGTGAGGAACAGTGCCCAGCCTCCTCCTACTCCTATGAACATCCTCATTTGGCTTTCTTTGCCAGCTCTTCTTCTGCTGGTCCTGGAAGTTGGAGAGCCTCAGCCTCTTCTCTCCTTACACACTCTTGCTTTTCCTAAGGAATTGCATCTGTTCTGAGTGACCTTGCACAACTGTAACTGCAGCTTTGCTTTGTGGCTAAAATTTCCTTCTCCTTCCTTTGCATACACATTCCCTTGAATCTGCACCAGGAGACAGCTGCCAGGAAGGAATTGTATTAATAGATTTGTCTTTGAGTCTGGGAAGTGAAGGACACCCACCAAAATTCCTGCCATGCCCCAAGTATCCTATGTTCTCACTCTTCCACCTTCATTCATCCTGGGTTGAATTTTTTTTTTTTTTTTTTTGAGATGGAGTCTCACTCTGTCACTCAGGCTGGAGTGCAGTGACACAATCTCAGCTCACTGCAACTTCTTCCTCCCCAGTTCAAGCAATTCTCCTGCCTCAGCCTCCCGAGTGGCTGGGATTATAGGCGCCTGCCAACATGCTAGACTAATTTTTTTGTATTTTTAGTAGAAACGGGGTTTACCATGTTGGCCAGGCTGGTCTAACTCCTGACCTCAGGTGATCCACCCACCTTGGCCTCCCAAAGTGCTGGGATTACAGGCATGAGCCACCGCACCCGGCCCTGGGTTGAATCTTAATTTGAAGAGGCATTTTTGACATATTCCTTGCATCATTCCAGATATCACTTATTAGATGCTCACTGGTTGATTGGCTACCTGGCCAGCATCCACACACCTTCCCAGTAGTGCTTACACTTCCCTTCCAGAATCCAACTCCTCCCCTGAGCAACTCATGTGCTTTGGAGAAAACTGATCCTCTGTAGCTTCAGCAGGAGGACTCGTTTTACCCAAGACAAAGGAAACATTCCATTTTCCTGGTGGCATCATGGTTCAGGGGTGAATCTATGACCCAAGCCAGCTCAATCACACTGAATATCAGTATTCCTACTTGGACCTCAAGGGAGACCTCCCTACTCTCCCTTCATTGGATGTGCATGTGGAAGCATGAAGCCCCAGCTATGGCTGGTGGCCATCACATCATCAGGAGGAAAGCTGGTTTTCAGATGAAGCCGATCTTCCAGTCACAGAGTGAGGGACAAAAAGAACATTGGTTCTCGATTATGTCATTGAGCTGCTGGTTCAAGTCATTCCTGGGGCCAGCATCATCTCTGGACATTCCAGTGGCAGGCACCAAGATGTCTCTTTCGTTTAATCTAGTTTGAAGGCTGGGCATCGTAGCTTACGCCTGTAATCCCTGCACTTTGAGAGGCCGAGGCAGGTGAGGTCAGAGGTTCAAGACTAGCCTGGCCAACACAGCGAAACCCTGTCTCTACTAAAACTACAAAAACTAGCTGGGTGTGGTGGCACACACCTGAAGTCCCAGGTACCCAGGAGGCTGAGGCAGGAGATCACTTGAACCCAGGAGGCAGAGGTTGCAGTTACCAGAGACCATGCCACTGCACTTCAGCCTGAGTAACAGAGCAAGACTCTGTCTCAAAAGGCGGGAGCAGCAATCACAGTAGCAAAGGCAAAGTGGAAATCTGGGTGTAAACTGGGCACCCATACATTATGCTCCAAGACAGCTAATAGTGACAACTGTGGCCCCACCTACTGGCCACAGGAATTTTTCTTGGGTGATAACAAAGATGTAGATTTCCTTCTGATATAATTTATCCTTTTATTTCATTCAGTTGGCACATTTTTTGGGCATCTACTATGAGCTAGGTGCTAAAATAGTTACTACCGATATAATGGTAAGCCAACACAGACCCAGTCCTTTTTTTTTTTCTGAGACAGGGTCCTGCTCTATTGCCCAGGCTGGAATGCAATGGTAGAATGAATCATGGTTCACTAAAGCCTCAAATTCCTGGGCTCAAGCAATCCTCCTGCCTCAGCCTCCCCAAGCAGCTGAGAATGCAGTTATACACCAACACACCTAACTAATTTAAAAATTTTTGTAGCAGCGAGGTCTCGTTAGGTTACTTGGCCTTGTCTTAAACTCCTGGCTTCAAGAGAGACTCCCTGCTGGGAACAGCTGTGAGCCACCGTGCCCAGCTCAGAAATACTTTTATGTTCCTTTTCTTCTTAATTTCTCCATGGTAAAATTCCTCATGGCCAATAAATCACTGATTGTAAACAAGCATCATGTGTAATGTGCCTTTTGCAAGAGTAGCTATGAAGTCCTATATCCTATTTCCAAAGTATACATCTATCATTCCCTTGGGGACAAGAGATCGTGGTGTAAAGCTGGTTGATCCTGTCAACTGATCTCGCAGCAGGTAAAAAACTGATACTGCAGGTCCAGTTTCAGGAGCTGACAGGAGGAGTTAGCAACACTCCAAAGAGGAATTATTTGCTCCATGTGTCATAATCAATGCAATCATTTTGATCACACTGAATTAAGGTTTTGGTTTTAAGCTTACTCTCTTTTCTCCTACGCTATTTATAAAATGCAGATATCAAGGTTTGTGCTTGGAGGTTTTAAAGAAGAGGTGAAAAATCAAAGATACTTAGGTTTCAGGAACTGACTAAGTGCCAAGAGAGTCATCTTTTTTTTGAAACAGGGTCTTGTTCTGTTGCCCAGGCTGGAGTACAGTAGTGTGATCCTAATTCACTGCAGCCTTGACCCCCTGGGCTCAAAGAATCCTCCCACCTCAGCCCCCCAAGAAGCTGGAACCACATATGCATGCCACACTGGGCTAATTTTTAAAATTTTTGTAGATACAAGGTCTCCATATGTTGCCCAGGCTGTTCTCAAACTCCTGGGCTCAAGGGACCCTCTCACCTTGACCTCCTAAAGTGCTAGGATTATAGGTATGAGCCTTGCTTTTTCAATTCTGTGTCCATAAATGTATTAAGACCTTGGATACAATGTACACAGGAGAAGGCTTCCTGTTGGTAAGCAGTTTTTTAAAAAAAGAAAAGAAAAGGCATCAAGAAGCTGACATAGGTAGCAGAGACAGGAAAAGAGAAGAGTTTTAAGGCCAGTGTTTGGAGATCAGACATTTCCCCTCAAAGGAGGACAGGCCTGGCTCAGGCCTTCAGAGGCATCAAGAATAGACCCTGGCTTCAGTTGATTCAGAGACGGTCAGAGGAAAGGACACCCCATGGGGCCTTCTCAGGGCTGTTTGGAAGCAGCTCTTGTTACCCCAAGCCTGCCTAGCATCAAACAGCCTTCCCTTTTATCCTCAAGGTTTGTGGTCAAGCATTTTCACTGCCCCAGGGAGAGGATATTCAGGGCTGTACAGAGCAAGATGTCCTTGTCATCGGGTGCAAGGACACACATTGAGCGGAATCTGACTGATGGGTACACATTGTGCTTTCAGCCGCTTCTGCAACAGAAGATGCTGGAACTGTTCAGCTAGATCCCAACAGTGTGGGTGGCTGGAAGCAAACTCTGTCCACAACGCAGACACAGTTTCAGAGCCCCCAAAGTGTGACTGCCCTGGGCCACCCGGATCCCCCTGCTAGGCTGAGCTGGGACATGACTGGGTTCTGCCCAGGCCACAGGGCAGCTTAGTCCGTCACAGCCCCAGCGCTGCCGCCCCCACCAGGCCCAGGTCGGTCCTCCTGTAAGTTTCCTGGCAATACTGCTCTAAAATCCCACTTACAACCCAGTGCAAGGACTCACGCCTGTAATCTCAACACTTTGGGAGGTCGAGGTGGGAGGACCGCTTGAGCCCAGGAGTTTCGAGATCAGTTTGGGCAACATAGGGAGACCCCCGTCTCTACAAAAAAATAAAAATTAGACGGGTGTCGTGACATGTACCTGTGGTCCCAGCTACGTGAGAGGCTGAGGCAGTGAGCTATGATAGCGCCACTGCACTCCAGCTTGGGCGACAGAGCGAGGCTGTTTTTGAATGAATGAATACATAAGTAAATTTAAAAATATGTAATAAAATAAATAAAATAAAATCGCCCTTCCCAGCGGTTACACTCGGCCACGGAGGTCTCCAGGCTGGCTGCGAAGACACCGGGGAGATCACTACGCGTCCAGCGCGGCAACTCGCGGCGGCCCTCGCGCACTTCCGCCGGAAGTCGGCCTCGCAGGGGCGCCTTGCTGACGTCATGAGCTCGCAGGAAGTCTGGTGGCGCGCCCATGAGGCGCCGAAGCCGAGCGCCTGGCGGTTGGCAGACGCTGGCGGTAAGGCAGCCTCCGTGGAGCTGTCTGAAGTTTATGCTGTCCCATGACCGTCGGTCTCCTCCCCTGACCCTCCCTTACCCCCTTATGTGTGGGGCCGCCGTTCCACCCCTACCTCCCCCGAGTCCCGGGCGGCCTGTTGTCCCTTCCGAGCCTGCTGCACTCCGCGTTCCTCTACCAGGCTCCAGTCTGCAGGGAAAGCTCCGGCCAGGCCGGTCCAGGAGGTGCCTTGATGGGGGCAGTTTCGGGAGGCCCTAGTGGGGAGGGGCAGGGAGGACCCAAAGCTTGGCTTATTTTTTCCCAACCGGTTGTTTCTTTCAAAGTCTTTATTATTATTATTATTATTTGAGACGGAGTTTCGCTCTTGTTGCCCAGGCTGGAGTGCAATGGCGTGATCTCGGCTAACTGCAACCTCCGCCTTCTGGGTTCAAGCGATTCCTCCCGAGTAGCTAGGATTACAGGCGTGCGCCATCACGCCCGACTAATTTTTTTGTATTTAGTAGGGATGGAGTTTAACCATATTGGTCAGGCTGGTCACGAACTCCTGACCTCAGGTGATCCACCCGCCTGGGCCTCCCAGAGTGCTAGGATTAGAGGAGTGGGCCACCACGCCGGGCCTATTTTATTATTTTTATTTATGGGGTGCCGCTCTGTGGCCCAGGCTGGAGGGCAGCGGCAGGTTTACAGCTCACTGCAGCCTGGACCTCCTGGGCTCAAGCGATCCTCACACCTCAGCCTCCCAAGTAGCTGGGACGCGCCACCACGCCCTGCTGGTTTTTAAATTTTTATGTAGGGAGGGTGGTCTCACTATGTTGCTTAGGCTGGTCTTGAACTCTTGGCCTTATGTGATCCTCCTACCTTGGCCTCCCAAAGATTTGGGAGCAGGCCTGAGCAACTGAGCCTGTGCCATTTCTCCCAAAGTCTTACCCCTTTATGCTGGGGGTGCTGAACATCCCCTATTTCCAAATTCTTTTCCACAATGTATCTGCCTTTGACTGCTACTCTTGTCTTATATGGGTGTTGAATTGATGTGTCTCTGTAGCCAGATCCAAGCTCTGGGGAGAACCATGTCCGGCAGCTACGGGTTGTGCCACGCACAGAGTGCTGCCCCAGAGGAGCTGCTGTTTGAATTATCTGTGAATGTGGGGAGGAGTAATGCCAGAGCTGCTGGCTGAAAATTATCCAAGAGAAATGTAGGCTGGGCACCCTGAATCACGCTGTGAGCATTGCTGCTGTTTGTTTGCTCTTAACCCTATCATGTCATGAATAGTTTCTTGTTTGGTTATCTCACTTGTATTTCCAGCCCGGAATCATATCTACTAAGGTTAAAAGTAACCAGTTCTGGTATCTTTTTTTGTTTGTTTTTGAGACAGGGTCTCACTGTTGCCCAGGCTTGAATTCCTGTGCTCAAGCAATCCTCCCGTCTCAGCCTCCTAAGTATTGGGGACCAAAGGCATGCACAACCACATCCAGCTAATTTTTGTATTTTTTGTAGAGATGGGGTCTCACTCTGTTGCCCAGGCCGGTCTTGAACTCCTGGGTTCAAGTGATCCTCCCACCTCAGCCTTCCAAAGTGCTGGGATTATACGCACGAGCCACTATGGCTGGCCAGTTCCATTATCTTTTTTTTTCTTTTCTATTTTCTTTTTTTTTTAAACCACTACAACGTGGAAAAGAATTCCAGTATCCAGGTTTTGTTTGTTTGTTTTGAGACAAACTCTCGCTCTGTCATACAGGATGGAATGTGATGGCATGATCTCGGTTCACTGCAACCTCCGCCTTGAGATGAAGTTCAAGCAGTTCTCCTGCCTCAGCCTCCTGAAGCTGGGATTACAAGCGTGCGCCACCACGCCCAGCTAATTTTGTATTTTTAGTATTGACAGAGTTTCACCATGTTGGTCAGGCTTGTTTCAAACTCCTGACCTTGTGATCTGCCCACCCTGGCCCCCAATGTGCCACCATGCCCAGCCCCGGTATTCAATATCCTAACACAGTATCCAGTATCCAATTTCTTTTTTTTTTTTTTTTGAGACGGAGTTTCGCTCTTGTTACCCAGGCTGGAGTGCAATGGCGCGATCTCGGCTCACCGCAACCTCCGCCTCCTGGGCTCAGGCAATTCTCCTGCCTCAGCCTCCCAAGTAGTTGGGATTACAGGCATGCACCACCATGCCCAGCTAGTTTTTTGTATTTTTAGTAGAGACGGTGTTTCACCATGTTGACCAGGATGGTCTCGATCTTTCGACCTCGTGATCCACCCGCCTCGGCCTCCCAAAGTGCTGGGATTACAGGCTTGAGCCACCGCGCCCGGCCTCAGTATCCAATTTCTTAACACAGGCCTGTGTGTTGACTCTGGTTCCAGAGGGTGATCCCTCATGGTTGTGGACAGTGCCCTGGAGGGATGCTTCTTAGGACAGGATGCCTGATTCTGGGTGCAGGGCTCCTCACTGCCTTTAGGACAGGCGTCCCCAAACTTTTTACACAGGGGGCCAGTTCACTGTCCCTCAGACCGTTGGAGGGCCACCACATACTGTGCTCCTCTCACTGACCACCAGTGAAAGAGGTACCCCTTCCTGAAGTGCGCGGGGGGTAGGGGGGGTGGGGGGCAGATAAATGGCCTTAGGGGGCCGCATGCTTTAGGAGATGCTTGTTCTCAAGGCATTGTTAGAAGATTCTTTGGGGCACCTCCTGTATCTTTGTGAATATTTAAGGAAGTAAAAGAATGATTTGTGCCTGGAGGCAAGGAAGGGGGATACATTTTCTTTCTCACTTTATTTTGGGTTAGCAGGTTGGAGATGCCCCAAAGGCAGACCACAGAGTTAGATTCAACATTTTTATCTTGGGCTGGGGCCGGTGGCTCACGCCTGTAATCCCAGTACTTGGGGAAGCTGAGGTAGGCAGATCACCTAGGTCAGGAGTTTGAGACCAACCTGGCCAATGTGGTGAAACTTCATCTTTACTAAAAATACAAAAATTAGCCAAGTGTGGGGTACACACCTGTAATCTCAGCTTCTAGGGAGGCTGAGGCAGGAGAATTGCTTGAACCTGGGTGGCATAGGTTGCAGTGAGCCGAGCTCATGCCTCTGCACTCCAGCCTGGGCAACAAGAGTGAAACTGTTAAAAAGAAGATATGTATGAATATATATATCTTTTTTTTTTTTTTAATTGAGACAGGGTCTCACTGTTTCCCAGGGTGGTCTTGAACTCCTGAGCTCAAGCGATCTGTGCACCTTGGCCCCCCAAAGTGCTGAGATTACAGGCATGAGCCATTGCACCTGGCCCAGAATTTTATCTTGATGGAGGGAGCTCAGGATCATTTGGGAGGCCCCACTGAGAAGCAGCAGTCCTCTGTTGTGCGTGCCTGAGGATTGGTGAATTCTGTTTTTCTGCTTTTTGCTTTGAGATGTCATTAAAGTCTAGATGAATTCTGTTTTGGTAGCCTTTTAGGAGTTGACGCCTGAGAATATGTGCCATGGAAGAAACCTTTCAGTAGCAGATAGTCACACTCTTTCTGTTCCTTTGTAGCCCCAGGATGGACTTTCTGGTCCTCTTCTTGTTCTACCTAGCTTCAGTGCTGATGGGTCTGGTTCTGATCTGCATCTGCTCGAAAACCCATTGCTCGAAAGGCCTGGTCAGGGAAGGAGCACAGGTGAGGATGATCCTTGGATACCACTGGTGTTTGAATACTGTGCTAGTCTAAGAGACTCACCGGGTTCACTACAAGACAAAGAAGAGATGCCAGGCTGGGTGCAGTGACTCACACCTGTAATTTCAGCTACCCAGGAAGCTGAGGCAGGAGGATCCCTTAAGCCAGGAGTTTGAAGTTGCAGTGAGCTATCATGCTGCTGCCCTCCAGTCTGGACTATAGAGTGAGACCCTGTCTCAACAACAACAAAGATGCCATTTAACTTAATTGATTGATTGATTTCATTGATGGCAGTTGTTATGGGACATTCCACAGCCTCTGTCTGTGTGTGTGTTTTTTGTTCTTGCTGAAAGTCCTCCTGTGGTGGTTCTTTGAGAGAAGAGGTTGCTTGGATTTGATTTCCTCTGTATTAAATGCTTGTGACTGGGCATGGATGTGAGCAATGTCCACCGGGGGGCTTGATGGGTGACTCTGGGGGATGTATGAGGAGAAAGCTCAGCATTGGCTGGCCTCCTCCTTCAGGGATCAAAGTGAGCAAAACTGGGGCAAGCAACCCATGGAAAGGCGTGGATTTGGCAGGGACCTGGGCTAATGCCCAGTGTTCTGGGTGTGGACACTGGAACCTGGGATTGAACCCAGGCTGGGGAAAGAGCACCTGAACCACTATATACGGAAACGACTTGCCATCACCCATTTTGCCAGCTGAATGTGGAGTGTCTGATTCGTTTGGGAGAAGAAATGAGAAATGAAGTTGAGTCTTTCTCTTTGTTTTTCAGATATTTTCCTATATAATTCCAGAATGTCTTCAGAGAGCCATGCACAGATTGCTTCATTACCTTTTCCATACAAGGTATTTATATTTCAGAGTTTAAATATCCTCCTCTTTTCTGCTTTATTAATTGTTGTGATCCTGTAGCTTCAGGAAGCTCCTTGTGGTTTCCAGCATGCTGAGAGAAAGAATGCTGGAAAGAATCATGAGTCCTGAGTTGGGAACCTCTACTCATAGTCAGTCTGCCTTTTGAGACTGAGGTTTTAACTTGTCTGCTTTTAAATAGTGATATTTAAAGATTGGGAAAATACTGACGTGTTTCTGTTAAATACATGCAGAATGTTTCACATGGTTTTCTTTTCTTTGAGGGAGAGTCTCACTCTGTTGCCCAGGCTGGAATGCAGTGGTGTGATCTCGGCTCTCTGCAACCTCTGCTTCCTGGGTTCAAGTGATTCTCCTGCCTCAGCTTCCTGAGTAGCTGGGACTACAGGTGTGTGCCACAAGGCCCAGCTAAATTTTTGTATTTTTAGTAGAGATGGGGTTTCACCATGTTGGCTAGGATGGTCTTAATCTCTTGACCTTGTGATCTGCCTGCCTCAGCCTCCCAAAGTGCTCCCAAGGTGTGAGCCACCGCACCTGGCGTCACATGGTTTTCTGTGTAATTCTTACTATTATCTCAAGCCCAAAGCAAGTGGTTGGCCCTCAGTTACTTTATTTAGTATTTTATGATTTCTTCAAGTATAAGCCCCTATGAACAAGCCATATGCCTGTTTCCTTTCAGAAACCACACCTTCATTGTCCTGCACCTGGTCCTGCAAGGGATGGTTTATACTGAATACACCTGGGAAGTATTTGGCTACTGTCAAGAGCTAGAGTTCTCCTTGTACTACCTCCTTCTGCCCTATCTGCTGCTAATTGTAAACCTGTTTTCATTCACCCTCACTTGTGTAACCAATCCTGGTAAGTTGAGGCTCTTAGCATACAGCATGGTGACAACTCCACTGTCTTACTAATAGTGCTGAAAACAAGGAGTGGCCTTGTACACTTTGTGTACAATTGTGCTGAATTCTACACTTTAAATGGGTGAATTAGGTTAATGAGTATGTCTCAGTAAAGCCATTATTCAAAATGAATTGCTTGGCCAGGCGCCGTGACTCACACTTGTAATCCCAGCACTTTGGGAGGCCGAGGTGGGAGGTTCACCTGAGGTTGGGAGTTTGAGACCAGCCTGGCCAACATGGTAAAACCCCATCTCTACTAAAAAAATTTAAAAATACAAAAATTAGCCAGGCGTGGTAACACACACCTGTAATCCTAGCTACTACTCTGGGAGAATTGCTTGAACCCAGGAGGTGGAGGTCGCAGTGAGCCAAGATTGTTCCACTGCACTTCAGCCTGGGCAACAATGTGAGACTCTGTGTCCAAAAAATAAAAAAAAAAATAAGTAATTGCTTAAGATGTTAAAGATAGCGGCTGGGCACAGTGGCTCATGCATGTAATCCCAGCACTTTGGGAGGCCGAGGTGGGTGGATCACCTGAGGTTAGGAGTTTGAGACCAGCCTGGCCAACATGGTGAAACCCTGTTTCTATTAAAAATACAAAAACATGGCTGAGCATGGTGGTGCTTGCCTGTAATCCCAGCTGCTTGGGAGGCTAAGGCAGGAGAATTGCTTGAACCCAGGAGGCGGAGGTTGCAGTGAGCCGAGATTGCGCCATTGCACTCTAGTTTGGGCAACAAGAGTGAAACTCCATCTCAGAAAAAGATATTAAAGATTTCAGTTGTGTTTTATCAGGATGGGTTTCGTGACCATCTGCTCCACCGTGTTACATGAAACTGACATATGTCCTTACTTTTTCCAGGCATTATAACAAAAGCAAATGAATTATTATTTCTTCATGTTTATGAATTTGATGAAGTGATGTTTACGAAGAATGTGAGGTGCTCTACTTGTGATTTAAGGAAACCAGCTCGATCCAAGCACTGCAGTGAGTGTGGCTCTCGTGGCTCCAGCGGCACCCCCAACAGCACACGTGTGGGCTTTGTTTGTGAAGGAATGTTTCCTGAATCTATAGTTCACCCCCAGACATGGTGTAGCCACTACTTATAGAGTTGAGATAATGGTTTCTTCGAGATGAATGAGGGTCAGGGTTTATGTTCTTGTGTAGTAGACAGTTCTCATCCCTGGGTATAACAGCCCTTCCCTTATCATAGGGCAGGACGTGCTGCCCACAAGATGTTTCTCTGGGATGTTGTGTTTGCAGATTTCAATCCTGCAAAGGCTAGTCTTCTGGGAGGGCCCAAAATTCTAGACTAGTGCTGTCTAATAAAAATAGAATATGACCAGGCACAGTGGCTCATGGCTGGAATCCCAGTACTTTGGGAGGCAGGCTGATCTCTTGAGCCTAGGAGTTCAAAACCAGCCTGGCAGCATGGGGAAACTTCACCTTTACAAAAAATACAAAAGTTAGCGGGCATGGTGGCATGTGTCTGTAGTCCTAGCTACTTGAGAGGCTGAAGCAGGAGGATCACTTGAGCCCAGGAGAGATCGAGGCTGCAGTAAGCTATGATTAAACTGCCGCACTCAAGCCGGGCGCGGTGGCTCACGCCTGTAATCCCAGCACTTTGGGAGGCTGAGGCGGGTGGATCACGAGGTCAAGGGATCGAGACCATCCTGGTCAACATGGTGAAACCCCGTCTCTACTAAAAATACAAAAAAATAGCTGGGCTTGGTGGTGCGTGCCTGTAATCCCAGCTACTCAGGAGGCTGAGGCAGGAGAATTGCCTGAACCCAGGAGGCGGAGGTTGCGGTGAGCCGAGATCGCGCCATTGCACTCCAGCCTGGGTAACAAGAGTGAAACTCCGTCTCAAAAAAAAAAAAAACAAAAAAAAACTGCTGCACTCCAGCCTCAGCAAAAGAGCGAGACCCTGTCTCAAAAAAAAAAAAGCCATGAAACAGTTTTTAAAAATATTTTTATTTATTTATTTTTTTTTTCTGTGGGCACAAAAACAAAAAAAAAATATTTTTCAAAATGTAGCTGTGCTTGGAGACAGTTTTAATCAGGGTTTTATTTAACCTAACGTATGTAAAATACCATTTTAACATGTAATCAATGTAAAAAATTCTTCATGAGATTGTTTATATTCTGCTTTTCATACTAAGCCTTTAAAATCTGGTATGTATTTTATATTTACAGCATATCTTGATTTGGACACCAAATTTTCATTTTAGAATTTAGATTTAATAAAATGTGTATTTAGATTTAATAAAATGTGCAGTTGAAAAGGTAGACTCACATATGCAACCTATATCCAGGAATTCTTAAAAGTTTTCCAATATCTTATTTTGGTAACACAAGAATCATTGTCCTTTACCATCCATGTCTACATTGACATAATGCCTCATCTTAATCAGAAGAATTGACCTAAAGCAGAAACATCAGTTTTAAAATTATGTCCGTCCAATTGAAGTAAATTCACTAACTTTTGTGTTGCCTCTATATTCACACTGAATTCAAAGGAGTATTGTAGTAAAAAACAACTGTAAACTTGTCAACATTGACAAAATGTCCTTCCCATTTTCTTTTTTTTTTTTTTTTTTTTTTTTTTGAGATAGGGTGTCACTCTGTTACCCATGCTAGAGTGAGTGGCACGATTATAGTTACTGCAGCCTTGATCTCCCATGCCCAAGCGATACTCCTGCCTAGTCTCTGCATAGCTGGGACCACAGGTGCATGCCACCACTACCTCAGATGTTTTTTGTAGTCAGATTACAAGTGCTCAATACCCACATTTGGCTGGTGGCTACTGTACTGGACACTGCAGTTCCAAAAGCTTAGTTTGGAACTAAGCAGCTGCCATTTTCCCCTGTCATACATCCAGTGGTCAGATTGTGAAAATCTCAGCAGGTGTGCGGTTTCCTTGTCTCATCAGGCACCATCCCAGCACTTGTCCCCTTGTTTCTGTGCAGGTGTGTGTAACTGGTGTGTGCACCGTTTTGACCATCACTGTGTTTGGGTGAACAACTGCATCGGGGCCTGGAACATCAGGTACTTCCTCATCTACCTCTTGACCTTGACAGCCTCGGCTGCCACTGTCGCCATTGTGAGCACCGCTTTTCTGGTCCACTTGGTGGTGATGTCAGACCTATACCAGGAGACTTACATTGATGACTTTGGACACCTCCACATTATGGACACGGTCTTTCTTATTCAGGTAATTATGCTGTAGGTTTCTGACTTCAAGTTTCAGAATTGCAAAAAGGACATTTATTTTCCTAGTAAAAGCATGAAGTTAGGTGGGGCACGGTGGCCCATGCCTGTGATGCAAGCACTTTTGAAGGCCAAGGTGGGAGGATCACATGAGGCCAGGAGTTGAGGACCAGCCTGGGCAACACCCAAATGTCCATCAACTGATGAGTGAATAACTAGTCTCTTGTAGAGAACCTGTGTCTACAAAAAATACAAAAATGAGCCGGGGTTGGGCACAGTGGCTCATGCCTGTAATCGTAGTACTTTGAGAGGCCAAGGCAGGCAGATTGCCTGGGCTCAGGAGTTTGAGACCAGCCTGGCCAACATGGTGAAACCCTGTCTCTGCTAAAATACAACAGATTAGCCGAATGTGGTGGCATGTGCCTGCAGTCCCAGCTACTCGGGAGGCTAAGGCACAAGAATCGCTTGAAGCCAAGGGGCAGAGGTTGCACTGAGTTGAGATCTCGCCACTGCACCGCAGCCTGGGTGATAGACCAAGACCCTGTCTCAAAAACTAACAAACATGAAGTTTTCCCTTTTTTTTTTTCTTTTTTTTTTTTTTTTCTGAGATGGAGTCTCGCTCTATCACCCAGGCTGGAGTGCATTGATACAATCTCGGCTCACTGCAACCTCTGCCTCCTGGGTTCAAGCAATTCTGCCTCGGCCTCCCGAGTAGCTGGGACTACAGGCGCGCACCACCATGCCCAGCTAATTTTTGTATTTTTAGTAGAGATGGGGTTTTGCCATATTGGCCAGGCTGGTCTTGAACTCCTGACCTCGTGATCTGCCCGCCTCGGCCTCCCAAAGTGCTGGGATTACAGGTGTGAGCCACTGTGCCCGGCCCTTAAGTTTTTTCTTTTTCTAAACTGGTATAAAATTCACATATCGGGCTGGGTGTGGTGACTCACCTGTAATCCCAGCACTTTGGGAGGCCAAGGCGGTCCGATCACCTGAGGTCAGGAGTTGGAGACCAGCCTGGCAAACATGGTGAAACCCCGTCTCTACTAAAAATACAACAAAATTAGCCAGGCATGGGGGTGGCTACCTGTAAACCTAGATACTCAGGAGGCTGAGGCAGGAGGATCGCTTGAACCCAGGAGGCAGAGGTTGCAGTGAGCCAAGTTCATGCCACTGCACTCCAGCCTGGGCAACGAGAGCAAAACTCTGTCTCAAAAAAAAAAAAAAAAAAAAAAAAAAATTCACATATCATAAAATTCACTCTTTAAAGTATACCATTCAGTGGTATGAGTATATTCACAGAGTTATGCAGCTCTTATCACTATCTAATATCAGAACATTTTTCTCATCCCCAAAAGGAGACATTCCCCATTCCCTCCTCCCCCAGACCCAGGTAATCAATAATCTACTTTCTGTCTTTAGGGATTGGTGTTTTCTGGACCCTTCATATAAATGGAATCGTGCAGTATATGGGTTCTTTCTTGTGGCACAAGGTTTTCAGGGTTAACTCATGTTGTAGCATGAATCTACTTAATTCTGTTTTTTGTTTTTGAGGCAGAGTCTCCCTCTGTCACCCAGGCTAGAGTTCAGTGGCGAAATCTCAGCTCACTGCACCCTCTGCCTCCCGGGTTCAAGTGATTCTCCTGCCTCAGCCTTCCGAATAGCTGGGACTACAGGTGCCCACCACCACACCCAGCTAATTTTTGTACTTTTAGGAGAGACAGGGTTTTACTGTGTTGGCCAGGCTGGTATTGAACTCCTGACCTTGTGATCTACCCGCCTCAGCCTCCCAAAGTGCTGGGATTACAAGCGTGAGCTATCACGCCTGGCTCTGTTTTTGTTTTTGTTTTTTTTTGAGATGGAGTTTTGCACTTGTTGCCCAGGCTGGAGGGGGCAATGATGTGATCTTGGCTCGCCACAACCTCTCCTCCGGGGTTCAAGTGATTCTCCTGCCTCAGTCTCCTGAGTAGCTGGGATTATAGGCATGTGCCACCATGCCTGGCTAATTTTTGTATGTTTAGCAGAGATGGGGTTTTACCATGTAGGCCAGGCTGATCTCTAACTCCTGACCTCAAGTGATCCACCCACCTTTGCCTCCCAAAGTGCTAGGATTACAGGTGTGAACCACCGCACCTGGCCTCACTTCATTTTTTTTTTTTTTTTTTTTTTTTAATGACTGAATAGCATTCCATTGTATGGATAGACCAGATTTTATTTATTTGTTCATCAGTTGATGGACATTTTGGTGTTTTCACTTTTTGGCTATTTTTGCTATGAACATTCATGTACAAGTTTTTTGTGTAGACATATGTTTTTACTTCTTTGGTAAATTCACCTAGGAGTGGAATTGCTGGGTCGTATGGTAACTTTTTTTTTTTTTTTTTTTTTTTTGAGACGGAGTTTCACTCTTGTTACCCAGGCTAGAGTGCAATGGTGCGATCTCAGCTTACTGAAACCTCTGCCTCTGGGGTTCAAGTGATTCTCCTGCCTCAGCCTCCCCAGTAGTTGAGATTACAGGCCACCACGCCCAGCTAATTTTATATTCTTAGTAGAGACAGGGTTTCTCCATGTTGGTCAGGCTGGTCTCAAACTCCTGACCTCAGGTGATCCGCCTGCCTTGGGCTCCCAAAGTGCTGGGATTACAGGCGTGAGCCACCATGTCCGGCCGCAAGACCCTGTTTCTACTGATTTTTAAATTTTTGTTTTATCTTACTTTTAGAGACGGGGTTTCACCACGTTGGCCAGACTGGTCTCGAACTCCCAACCTTGTGATTCACCCACCTCAGCCTCCCAAAGTGCTGGGATTACAGGCGTGAGCCACCACTCCTGGCCTAATTTTTATTTTTATTTTTTGAGATGGAGTCTCACTGTGTTGCCTAGGCAGGAGTGCAGTAGTGCAGTCTCGGCTCATTGTAACCTTCACCACTCAGATTCAAGCGACTCTCCTACCTCAGCCTCCTGAGTAACTGGGATTACAGGCATGTGCCACCACCCCTGGCTAATTTTTATATTTTTTATTAGAGAAGGCCATGTTGGCCAGGCTGGTGTCAAACTTCTGACCTCAAGTGTTCTGCTCACCTTGGCTTCCCCAAATGCTGAGATCACAGGCGTGAGCCACCCTGCCTATCCCCCGTTTCTATTTATTAAAAAAAAAGAAAAATCTTGTTTCTTTTGGGAAGAGGGGCTGATAAAATCAGTGATACAATGAATATCCTTGTATATCTATTTTTGGGGTTGTATTTTGTTTTAGGACATTGATCTCTTGTCCATCTGGCTTTTGTTTTGATGAATGAAGTCTGCATTCTTTTATAGCTATCTAACTGGAATAGCACATTTCCTGAGTAAACTTTCCCTTCTCCCTGTGTGTGACCACTTCATTCATCCCATAGGAAACTCTTGTATGTATTGGGATTATTCCTGGGCTGCTTGTCAGCTGTTTATATTCAGTTTGTCACATTTGGACACAGGTAGGTGGGCTGAGGAAGCAGCGCTGGTGGCTGGGCAGGACCAGGGTTGGTGGGTGTTCACCCTCATGGATGTCACAGTCCAGCACTGCTGTTTCTTTGCCCCTAGTACCTGTTCCTGACCTTTCCACGGATTGTCTTCATGCTGGGCTTTGTTGTGGTCCTGAGCTTCCTCCTGGGTGGCTACCTGTGCTTTGCTATATACCTGGCGGCCACCAACCAGACTACTAACGAGTGGCACAGAGGTGACAGGGCCTGTTGCTGGCATTGTCCCCTTGTGGCCCGGCGTCCGTCAGCAGAACCCCAGGTCCACCAGAACATTCACTCCCATGGGCTTTGGAGCAACCTTCAAGAGATCTTTCTACCTGCCTTTCCATATCATGAGAGGAAGAAACAAGAATGACAAGTGTGTGACTGCCTTTGAGCTGTAGTTCCCATTTATTTACACGTGGATTTGCTCGTTTTCTGAGCATGGCTTGTTTTGATTTCTGCTGTGCTTATCAATCACTTTTGGTGGGCAAGGGAGGGGGAGAGGAAAATGAGTGTTGATTGACTGCCTCATCTTTGCCAGTGTGGTGGGAGGAATCCCCCTTGCTTACCTTCTCTCGAAACTGGGCATCTCTGAAGTCCTAGTGTCAAGGAGATCAAGATATAACTTCTCAGAGGTTCCAGGTGACACTGAGACCTTGGTGTCTCTAAACTCTGGGCATGTGGACAGGAGGGGCTTGTGGCCGTGTCTCTGACCTGTCTCTGAAGTGCAGGAGGGTCTCACTGACTCAGTGTCTGCACATTGTGTCTAGTTGTACTCTTCTATGCCTTCTCTGTTCGCCTCTCTTCCCCCAGGGGATTTTCATCTCAACGACAGAGTGTCCTCACCCAGGCCTGCCTTCTGGCCAGTATGGCCTTGTACACCAGGCACATTCCTGCATGCATGGCCTCCTGCCTGCCCTCTTCCGGCCATTTTCAAGTCCTTTTTGCCCAGTTTAACAATTGTGAAAGTGAACTGCCACCTAGTTCAGAGAGGAGAGATGATAGCTAGAAAAGGGGTCTTAGTGCAGAAGGTCTTTTGAGTGGGAGGGCACTGAGAATCAGCTTGGTTGGGAGACCCCCATCCAGGCGGGCTGAAGGTATTTGAGAGGCAGACACCCAGATAGCACTGCAGAGTGGATCTGTCCTGGGGACCAACAGCCTGAGGGCCTACGGGGCTGACAGCTCTCCAGACTGAGGGCTCCCAGCAGATTTTCATCCACGTATTTGCTCTTTGACAGGTGACTTTAATTAATACACAAGTGTTCTACATATACACATAACTCAAGAATATACCAAGTAGGCAGCTGTTAACCTGCCTACCACTAATTACAAACTAAAAGTATCTTCCACATGGGAACCATGGGGGCAGGGTAAACTTAATGTTCCTCAACAGGAGGGCTCTGAGGAGCAGGGAGCAGGTGTTCTACACCTGCTAGGCCAAGGAGCCGGCAGCCAGAAAGGTCAGGAAGTGAGAGTCAGGGGCAAGGGGCCTTCCAGGCATCTTCCCCGGTAGCTCCTCCAGCTGAGAACAGATGGAAACTTGAAGACCGGTAGCTGGGGCGGCCAGGGAACCCAAGTGTGCTGGGTTAAGCCAAAGCCGGGCGCGCATCCTTGCTGGTGGTGGAAAGCACAGTGAAATCAACCAGCGGCGGCTATGAACGCTACGCAGAGCCCGCGAGGGAGCCTGGGCAAGGACAGAGCGGGCTTTCCTTGGCGGTTGGGCGGATTCGGAAGGCGAGGGCGGGCTTGGGGCTTGGGGGCGGGGTCCACCTGGGGCCGCGGCGCGCCCCTCATCGCTAGCGCCGCCAGGGGTCGCCCTCCGGAGAGCGCTCCTGGGCCGGGCCTGCGCTTGGCCCCTACGGGCCGCCGTCTCCGCGCCCGGCATTCGGCCGCCTTTCGGCTGCGCGGCGGCGGCTCCCAGCGGCGCCGCAGTCGGACCTTTGGGTGTCCGCTTGCCGGCGACGGTGGCGGCAGCGGCGGCGGCGGCGATGGCGCCCTGAGCAGGGAGGGAGCAGGGAGCAGGCAGCGGCAGGCGGGTCAGCGGGCGGGTGCCGCGGCCCAGGCCCAGGGTAGGTGCGGAGGCTTGGGTCGCGCCTCTTTGTCTCCACGGACAGCGGCGCATCCCCGGGCCCCGGGCGGAAGTGAGACGCGCTCGGCGTGGGGGCCGTGGCGACCGCACCATGAGCGACATCCGCCACTCGCTGCTGCGCCGCGACGCGCTGAGCGCCGCCAAGGAGGTGCTGTACCACCTGGACATCTACTTCAGCAGCCAGCTGCAGAGCGCGCCGCTGCCCATCGTGGACAAGGGCCCCGTGGAGCTGCTGGAGGAGTTCGTGTTCCAGGTGCCCAAGGAGCGCAGCGCGCAGCCCAAGGTGCGGCCCGGGACGGTCTGGTGCCAGGGCCCCGCAGGCAGGCGGGAGGGCTCTTTCCCTGGCGATTCAGGGCTGTGTCAAGCCCCGGGCGTCTCGCGTCCAGGAGACCCGCGCTCACGCTCGGCCTCGCTCCTGCAGCAGCCCCCAACCCCTCTCCGGGTCCTGCAGCGTGGCTCAGTTGCCTGTCCACTTTGCGGGGCGTGTGACAGCCGAGTCTCAGTGTTAAAGGGACAAACTCTGGCAACTGCCCGCTCCCTAGATGTCTGCTGGGTTTTACTGAGAGGTTCAAGCCGTTGTGGGTCATCCTGAGCCCTCCAGGAAGATGGATAATGATCTGTATGGCTTTCCCCCTTACATCTTTTCGTTTCTTTTCTCTTTCTCTCGGGCTTTTTTTTTTTTTTTTTTTTTGACAAGGTCTCTGTTGCCTGGGCTGGAGTGCAGTAGTGCAATCACAGCTCACTACAACCTTCAACTCCTGGGCTCCAGAAATCAGCCTCAGTTAGCTTCCTGAGTAGCTGGGACTACAGGCATGCACCCCCATGCCCAGCTAATTTTTGAATGTTTTGTAGAGATGGGGCCTCCCTGTGTTACCCAGACTGGTCTCAGACATTGGGGTCTCAACCCTGGGATTAAGTTTGGCCTCCTGGGATTAAATTTGGAATTACAGGCGTGAGCTACAACGCCAGGCCTGCATGACTTTTGTCTAAGATTAACAGCAAAGATCTACTCCCTAAGACCTGAGCTTCACGAAGGGTGAAAAGTTCTGCGGGGTGAGGGGATACTGTTATTACCGGTTTTTTTTTTTTTTTTGAAGACGGAGTCTCCCTCTGTCACCGGTGGGAGTGCAGCAGGTGTGATCTCGGCTGACTGCAACCTCTGTCTCCCAGGTTCAAGCAATTCTCCTGTCTCAGCCTCCCGAGTAGCTGGGATTACAGGTGCCTGCCACTATGCCCAGCTAACTTTTTGTATTTTTAGTAGAGATGGGATTTCACCATGTTGGCCATGCTGGTCGAAATCCTGACCTTATGATTCGCCCACGTCTGTCTCCCAAAGTGCTGGGATTCAGGCGTGAGCCACCGCATGTGGCCTGTTTCCTGTTTTCTTAATATGTTAGTTAATAAGTACGTTACAGCCACATTTCTTAATGTTTTTTCTGGATTTGTTTTGCAGAGACTGAATTCACTGCAGGAGCTTCAACTTCTTGAAATCATGTGCAATTATTTCCAGGAGCAAACCAAGGACTCAGTTCGGCAGATTATTTTTTCATCCCTTTTCAGCCCTCAAGGGAACAAAGCCGATGACAGCCGGATGAGCTTGTTGGGAAAGTTGGTCTCCATGGCGGTGGCAGTGTGTCGAATCCCGGTGTTGGAGTGTGCCGCCTCCTGGCTGCAGGTACTGCTTGAGAGAAGGCCTCGGCCTGGCTGGGTGGCTCACGCCTGTAATCCCAGCACTTTGGGAGGCTGAGGCAGGCGGATCACTTGCAGTCAGGGGATTGAGACCAGCCTTACCAACACGTTGAAACCCTGTCTCTACTAAAAATACAAAATTAGCTGAGCTTGGTGGGGCAAGCTTGTAGTCCCAGCTATTTAGGAGGCTAAGGCAGGAGAATCACTTGAACCTGGGAGGCAGAGGTTATAGTGAGCCGAGATGATGCCATTGCACTCCAGCCAGCAGGGTGACAAAGTAAGACTCCGTCTCAAAAAAAAAAAAAAAAAAAAGAGAGAGAGAGTGCACCTCCCCCTGCCTCTCTCAAGAGGAGTTTGCTGTTCTGAATTCTCACTTAATTGGATTTCTGGAGTGGTCTTTTAATTGGATTTCTGGAGTGGTCTTTTTTCTTAATTGCCATTTCTTTAGGCCATGCTTGGTGGTTCACACCTGTAATCTTAGCACTTCGGGAGGTCGAGGGGGGCAGATCACTTGAGGTCCGGAGTTCGAAACCAGCCTGGCCAACGTGGTAAAACCCCATCTCTACTAAAAATACAGAAATTAGCCTTGTGTTGGGGCATGTGCCTGTGGTCCCAACCACATGGGAGGTTGAGGCAGGAGAATTGTGTAAACCTGGGAGGTGGAGGTTGCCATGAGCTAAAATCACACCACTGCACTCCAGCCTGGGTGACAATGAGACTAGGTCTCAAAAAAAAAAAAAAAATTTTTTTTTTTTAAATGAGGGTGTGTTTTTTTCTTTCTCTCCTTTTTTTTTGAGTGGGGGGAGGCGGGAACAGGGTTTCAGTCTGTCACCCAGGGTGGAGTGCAGTGGCCCTATCTTAGCTCACTACAACCTCCGCTTCCTGGACTCAAGCCATCCTCCTACCTCAGCCCCCTGAATAGCCAGCACCACAGGCACACACCAGCGTGTCTGGCTAATTTTTTTTTTTTTTTGGAGACAGTTTCGCTGTTGTTACCCAGGCTGGAGTGCAATGGCACGATCTCGGCTCACCGCAACCTCCGCCTCCTGGGTTCAGGCAATTCTCCTGCCTCAGCCTCCCGAGTAGCTGGGATTACAGGCACGCGCCCCCATGCCCAGCTAATTTTTGTATTTTTAGTAGAGATGGGGTTTCACCATGCTGATCAGGATGGTCTCAATCACTTGACCTCGTGATCCACCCGCCTCGGCCTCCCAAAGTGCTGGGATTATAGGCGTGAGCCACCGCGCCCGGCCAATTTTTGTATTTTTTGTGGAGAGAGTTTCACCATGTTGTCCAGACTGGTTATGAACTCCTGAGGTCAAATGATCCTCCTGCCTCCACCTCAGCCTCCCAGAGTGCCGGGATTATAGGCATGAACCGTTGCGTCCAGCCTAAGAATAGGATTTTAAGAGTGATTAAGTGAGTACTGCTGCGAACCGACATTTTCATCATTTGGTAGTTCACAGACTCTCCTGAATCTCTTCAATGTGATAGCAACTAGTAACTTTTACCTTTGGCGTTTCACCTGGCGTCCTGTAAGGTTAGAAAAGTTGTCGTTTCCTCACCTGAAAGCAGAAATGATGTTTCCTAAGTAAACTGTAAAGCAAGAGTTGACAGGCTCCATGCGGTGGCTCACGCCTACAGTCCCAGCACTTTGGGAGGCC